GAATTAAGTTTAATTAAAATATAGTGTCGGGGATCTGATAGATTATATAAAATTTAAAATAAAAAATTTTCTCGTGCGCCCGTTTAGAAAAGGAATATCAGTTCCCGATATACTTTAAAAATATCGGGTTCACGATATTACTATAATATCGATACCTGAAGGAATCTAAAAAATATCATGCTCCCGATATTACTATTTGTTATCATATATCCAATATTAATAAAATATCAGGCGTCTGAGATCAAAACAAAATTTATCGCATAGCTATTGGGCGTATTATAAAATTTACAAAAGTGCTATTGGGCCTTTAAAAAAAAAATGTAGATATCGGGTATCCGATATATATATAAATATTTCATGTGCCCAATGATTTCCTGATAATCGACCGATAGGTGCCCGATAGATATCCGATATTCGAATTTTGACCTGTGAAGTCCATAATAATATATAAAAATTTCCAATCACCTGAAAAGAAAAATTCAATTGGCCAATAATTACCATCTTCATCAATTATTTCATTTTGTTTTAAATTCATTAATTGTAATGCAAATATTTTATCAACTCTATTTAAAATTTCATGTTTCTTTTCCTATATATAGACATATACTAAAAATAAAGTTAATTTATTATTAATTTATTTTAAATATTAATATTAATTAATTTGTATAAATACCTATATTGTTTATCAGGTTTAAGTACTTCTTCTCCTTCATTTAATAAACAAAAAATAATCATCACATGGTTTTACTTTCTTCCTACATTTCTTCCATCTCCTCCAAGTTTAATATAAAGAGTATCTCCAGGAATTATTACTGGATTTTCTCCTTTTTTCCAAATTGGAATTAATATTTTAAGTAAAGTTGCCAAAGAACAAAAAGCACCATTTCCTACTTCATTACTATCTACCAAAATATTATTAATAATTTCACTATTATAATTATTAATATTAGATTGATTAATATCTTGATTTATATTAAAAATTTTCACAGGTATTTGAGCATTTATAAGCTTACTTATTTCATTTCTACGGTCAGCAACTAAATATTCACGAAAAAGACTAAGTACAACAGCTGCCAAATGTCTATAACCATCACAACCTGAAAGTGCTTCATCACATACTCTTACTACAGCATCCAATCTAATTTTTGAATCTAAATTTTTAAATTTGATTTGAATTTGATTTTCTTTATATTCAAACTCAATGTAATGTGGACATATAATGGATTGTTCTGATGAGTCTGTTAACTTGTGCTTTACAATTAATTCATCAACAGTTTTTTTTACATCTTTTCCAAAACTTTTAAGTCTTTTGTGTTGTTGTGAACGTGAGGTAATATCTTCAAATGGTCTAATTTGTTTATTAACTTTTGTTGTAATAATAGAACTTGGATTCATTTGAATACGAATATTATATAAAGGTTCAATATCAAATCCAAAAACACGGGATCCAGAAAGTTTAGAGTTTTTCCAATTAATTTTCTAATTATAATAATATAAATAGAATTGATTTATTATATAATTTAGTATTATTAAATTAATTATATTAATTATAATCTATATAATAAAAAATAAATAATAAAATTATTAAAAAAATTATACAATTAAATTTTAAATTAACTATACCTTTAAAAATAAATTAACAACTGCCGAAGCTGATTTTGTACTATTAACACTCCATTCAGCACGTCCTTCCTTCCAAGTAACTGTATAATTTATTTTTGAATTGGATATATATTTCGTTTCACATTTAACCCCTCTTTCAGCAATTTCTGTTTCAACTATATAGTTGTCAGGTATTGGATATTGGGGTACATTACTACAGTTTGGTTTTTGAGTTAATTTTGGTGTTATAGGATAAGTTCCTAATGCAATAATATTATAATATGAAATATATGTCCGCCCCCTTGATTTATATTGAGCTTCAATTCTCGGATTTTTTGGATAGTCATGTATAAAAACGCGACTAGAGAAAGAACTGGCTATAAAATATTTTTTAGATATTTTGTAAAATAAAATAAAATAAAATATAATAAAATAAAATAAAATAAAATAAAATAAAATATAATAAAATAAAATAAAATAAAATATTTAAATAAATACCTTCTAAAACTTGATTATCTATATTTGGACCTACTGCACTCTCATCTTCTCTGTCATTTTCTTTATTAATACCGCTTTCTATATTTCGGTCTTTCGTCATTAAAATATTGGTTTTAACTAGTTTTTATATTTTATAAATAAAAAAAACATATATATATATTTATTCTTTTTATATATTTTTAATATAGGTAAGAGACAGCTTGCGTACTGATTCATAAACGATTCCACTGAAAACGGATTCCCAACAGATTCCCAAGTCGCGATTTCGGTGTAAAAAGTCTTCAGCAATTGGTTTATGTATTTTAACATCACATATTTGTCACGTTTTAGTCATGTGTTAAGATCAAAATTCGGGATAATCCCTAAAATTTAATTAGGGATATGAGACAAATCGGTCCATATGAAATAATTGTTTGCATATGAAATAGTTTTTATTTTAAAAAGGCTTTTTTTTTTTTTTTTTTTTAGTTATCATTTATTAGATTTAACCAGTTATTCTTAGGAAACCATTGTAAAGTTAAGATATATTTTGAATAAAGTAATTAGTGACATTAATTAATTAGTTAATTAAAAAAAAATCAATTACCTGTACAAAATAATTTTTGATAATTTCAAGTGTATTAGACACATTTGATTGTGAAAGTAATAAAAGTTTCTTTAGATAACTCATTAATATTGGTGTAGTAATCATGTAATCCTATTAACATTTCGGGTGCATGATTATCTGGGTTTAAGTTTTGTAAATTTTCATTGAAGGAGAAAAGCTAGCAAAATCAAAAAATACTGTTTTTCATATTGTACAATATTTGGCCCCATCGTATATCTCTATGCATAACTGGGAATTAAGTTAATATACAGATCAATGCTTTTAGTAATTCATTAAGATTTTCTGGTTTCTTCTCCTTTCCTCTTGGCCTCAAGTGAACAGACTTCTCATGAGAACGAATTAAATTATCAACATGATCTTGTAACTCCTCTATATGTAGTGTTTGTTAGAAATGTAAATTTAAAAACAAAAAAAAATGAAATGAAGATATTTTTAAACTTACATTCATCAATCCATAAATTTTTTTCAAATGTTCAACCCTAACTTCTGAAGAGAATTTTTTTTTTAACACCATAACCAATTTCAATTACAGTTCCATTATCGTAGGCAATATGTGACCTAAGTTTTATAAAATAAATAAATTAGCCTTTCTAATGAGATTTAAAAATTATGACATTAAAAGAACTTACGCATATTTCTAATTAAAATTCATTGGCTTGAATCTATTTGTTAATAAATATAAATTGAAAATTGCAAGTTTTTCGCTTCAAAGTTCTGTGTGTTTTCTCTTTCGATTAATATCATTATGTTCTTTTTCATAAAGAACACAAAAGTTAACAACAGTAGCATTGGCTTAGTATCCAAAATGATATGGAGCATCTCCATAATCCCAAGAATTTCATTTATCAATTAATTCCTTAGCAGGTTCTCCTTTTCCACATTCTCCTTTCTCTTCTCCACAGATAAAACAAATATTTTCCAATAAAAGACAAAATCTGATCGATTTTAACCTATAAAACTTTTTATTAATATATAATATTTCAGTCAATTATTATTAAAATGAGCCTACCTGTTGTTGTGTCTCTGGAAGTATTACGATCAATTTTCGTTAGTGACATTTCATTAGAATATTTTCCAAATACTTGTAGTGACTTGCTGATAATAACATCCCAAAAAGGAGTAAAATGAATCCAGTTGGAGGGGTGTTAATTAAGCCTGATATTAATTCAGTAAAATGCAGTACAACTCTCTGATTTGATTTCTATAAAATATTTATCACACGATCTGTTGGTTCCATACTGAATGGTTCTATAACTGGAATTGAAGTGAAAATTTCCTTGGAAAAAGGGACTTTCAAATTTGATATCTAATCATGTCATAAGCACTATCTCAAATAAATAAACTGAATGGAAAACAATCTTTTGTCATTACCTGCTAATTCAACTTTAATTTCCATTTCTTATACAGGATCCACCATTCATTTTTTTCCTTCTCCAACCTTTCATTTACTTTCTTTAATTCCTCTGTCCCCCACAACTCTTTAAAGACGTGAGTGTAGTAGTATTTCGTAACTATAGTCGTGACTTCGGCCGTGATTTACGCGACAAGAAGCAATTTTCTACCAATATATTTCTATGACAGATCGAAAGCTCTGGTTATTGGCTACAAGATGATATGTGTTTAGCTTCAGTATTCGTGGAAATATTTGTGTTTAAATTCGAACGTCCGAGAAAAATTTCTGCTATAATTTTCTGTAATTTTTCGTAATTCTGGCGGAAATGAATTTAACGTCACAAAATTTCCCGCCAGAATTACGAAAACTTCCAGAAAATTTACGACAGAAATTTTTTCACACTTTAAAAACAAATATCTACGCGAATATCGATGCTACAGAATAAAACTTGTAGCAAAGTACTAGGGCTTTCGATCTGTCATAGAAATACCTTGGTAGAAAATCACGGGCGAAGCCAAAAAATGGAATTTTATTTGCGTAATCTTCTGTAAGTCACGTGATTTTCCGTTTATTATTGTGGTTCTTGGCTACAAGATAATGTGTTTCATTTTTGTAGCATCAATATTCGCGAAGATATTCGCCAGAATTACAAAAAATTCCGGAAATTTTATAGCAGAAATTTTTCACAAACGTTCAACTTTAAACGCGAATATTAATGCTACAAAAATGAAACACATATTGTCTTGTAGCCAAGAACCAGATATTTTGATCTGGAATAGAAATATCTTAGCAGAAATTGCTTCCTGTCACGTGAATTACAGCTGAATCAAAAAAATAGAATTCTTTATACATATTCTATAGTTATGACTACTATGGCCATCTTTACTACATTGTAAAGTGAGGACACCCTTAAAATATATTTGGGGTATAGATCAGTCAAATACAAAAGAATCACTGTACTGAATGGTAATTCCTATATTATGGATCAGCTAAAAATCAGTAAAAATCCTATTGCATTCTATATTATAAATTAGCTAAAATTGGAATTCCTTTTTGATACGGCAATTCTTTTATATTTGACCTGGGCTATATACCTTATATAAATAAAATTATTTAAAGTAAACATCACAGGATAAAAGCCTGGAACAAGAAAGGATATTCATAATATGATGAGACCTAACATAAGTCTGCACCCAAAGACTAAATTCAATTATTTAAATTATTTTAATAGGCAAAGATTTCCAGATAATTTTTTACATTTTTCGACTTCACTCATGTATAGTAATTTTTTACTAAGGTATTTCTTGATGGAAAAAAAGGCCTTGTTCTTGGCTGCAGAATAATATATATTTTATCCTGGTAGCATTAATATTTGTGAAGTTATTCTGGTTTTAAAAAAAAGCATCTGTGAAAAAATCATGTGACAAGATTTTTACATGATTTTTTTACAGACGTTTTTATTTAAACTAGTATAACTCTGTGAATATTAATGTGATTAGGATAATACACATATAATTTTGTAATCAAGAACAAGGCCTTTCTTTCTATCTTAGAAATATCTTAGTGAAAAATTACTCTATAATTCTAAAATTTATGAGTGAAGTCGAAAAAATTACAAAAAAAAAAAAAATACAAAAATTTTAAATTTTCTCATTCGCTTGTGATTTGCAAAGTGTAGAATAATTTTCTATTAAGGTTTTTCTAATATATAAAGAATCATCAGTTCTTAGCTACAAAATTATGTGTATTATCCTGATAGCATCAATATTCACGGAATTATTCCAGTTTTAAAAAAAAAAGTCTGAAAAATCATAAGAAATTTTTATATAATTTTTTCACAGACTTTTTTTTCAAACTAGAATAATTTCACAATGTTATTAGAATAATACACATATAATTTTGTAGTCAAAAACAAGATGGTTCTTTGTATCTTAGAAATACCTTAATAGAAAATTACTCTACGTAAGTGAAATTGAAAAAAAAACGTGAAAATCTCTGACTTCACTCGTGATTTTAGAATCATAAATCAATTTTCTACTAAATATTTCAAAGAAAGATCTTTGTTTTTGGCTACAAAATGATATATGTTTTATCTCAAAAATATCAATATTTGTAGAGTTATTCTAGTTTAAAGAAAAATGTCCATAAAAAAATTGTACACATACAAATACTTTTCTTTAAATAGAATAGCTCCGTGAATATCAATGTTGATCAATATATTATCGGATATACTTTTAAATTTTAGCAATCATTGATGGATTTTATTTAAAAGATTAAAAGAAATCTTTTTTTTTTTTCAATAAAAATTTGTTGTATGAAGAAACAAAATTATTATTATTTTTTTATTTATATTTTTTATATTTATATATATATGTGTTTTATATATATTAAAATTTCTTTGTAATACATTTTAATACATTAATTAATAACCTGCAAATTTTAAACACTGAAAAAGCACCCACCACCACCCTTTTCCTTATAAAGTAAAATGAATGCAAATAGAATAAAATAAGATAGAAATAAAATAAATGTCAAGCTATGTCAAAAATGTTAAGAGAATAGAAAAAAAAAAATCAATAATTATCAATTGATTAATGTGTAAAAAAAAAAAAAGCTATATACAAAAAAAAAGGGTAGTAATTTTAAGGTAATGATAAAATATTTAAAGATTAAAAAATTAAATAATCAGAATAATAATGATAACGTGTTCGAACGGAAAATAAAAGAATCTACCTGTATTCCAATTGTCACCAAAAAAACGAATAATATAAACTTTGTGTCGTGTGAAAAAAAAAAAAAAAAAATTAAAGTTTTCTATTATTTTAAAAAAATAATACTAATAATCACTATAAATAATTAATTATTTATTAAATCTTACGATATTACTTTATTGTAATAAGAACTATAAAGGATACAATAAACAATAAAATGCAATTATGATTTGATGTTATGTTGTTGGTGTTTATTCATTATTATTCATTATAATCCATTATTCGTTATATTATTCGTTACTCATTATTATCATTATTCGTAATTCGTCGTTATTCATCGTTATTCGTCGTTATTCGTTATTATTTTTATTTATTTATTTATTGTTTATCTTCCAATTTAACTAAAACAGCTTCTAATTCTTCTTCTGGAACAACTGGTCCATTTCCGGAACATTTGGCTTTCGATTTTAATTCATTACAAAGTTGATCAATTTCATCTCCTTCTAAATCATCAAATTTCGGATGTTGTTGAATCCTTTCCCATACTTTATTACATGATAAAAACTTTTGATTATTTCTACTTTCTTCAAATGAATTTATGGAATGTTGTCCATTAAATGGATTCTTTCTTTCATCCAATGGTGTGGCCATTGGTGCGAAACTACCGAAATTTTGAAAATTCTCTTCAAAAAGTGGTGGCAATGGTGCGGATTCCGAAAATGGATTATCAATATTCGGTGTAAATGGTGTGGGATCTCGATATTCTGTAAATGATGATAATCTATTTGAATCGGTCGTTGTATTTGAAGATGTGGTAGTAATAATTTCATCTGAATTGGTACTACCATCACCACCATCTAAAGAAGAATCTTGTAGACATATTCCATTTGTAAACTTTTCACAAAATTCTTTGGCATTTTGAGGTTTAGGTGAATGTGATATATTTATGCTAGATGATTGTAATACCTCTGATAATACATTTTTGGTGGTATTAGCCGTGGTGATGGGAGTGGAAGTAGTAGTAGGGATTGATTTAGGTGTTGAAGGTAAACTCGTTACTATTTTATTAGTCGAAGAATCTTTAGTTTTATCAAATATTTCTTCTCCTAGTTGAATTGAATCCGACGATTTTGGTGAACTTGGTTCTTCATCACTTGTCCCTGAAGATGGAGGAGTATAAGGATCAAGTATATCATCATTAATTGATGACAATAAAGATTTTAAAGTATCTGTAGTAGTATTATGTTGTTGTTGAGTTAGAGAAGAAGCAGATGATGAGGACGACGACGATGACATCAGATCTGTAATATTCTTATCAACAAGGGTCGTTGATTTTTCGGTTTTTGTTAGAGGGAATTCGAATGAGAAAGATGTTTGTTTCAATATAAAATTTTCTGTTTGTAATTGTTCAACAAGTGTTTTAAGTTGTTGATTTTCCTGTGCACTTTTTGCTGATAAAGATTCAAGTTCGGTAATCTTGGTTTCAAGTTCTTTGACGTATCGTTCCTTACGTTCTCGAAATGCACGTTGAGCTGCTCGATTTTGAGCTTTACGTTTCTATAATAAAATTTATTATTATTAACTCAATATTCAATTTTAAAGTAATCAGATATAAATCTAGATATAAATTTATTCCATAAAATTTATACGTACAGAGCTAGGAGTATTATTTAATGGTTTTCTGCCCGGTTTTTTCTTCAGTGGTTCAGTTCGTTGCTCTGACAATGCATTATCTGAAGTTTGATCATTCTCTGTTCAAAAAGTCATTATAAAATGTTAAAGAGATATCAAACGAGAGAATAAAATAAATAAAGAATATAAAATTTTATTCATTACTTTACCTTCGGCTGATAATTCAGGATGAGGAACTGAAGCGATATTAAGATTGTCTGAAAAGTATATATGCAAAATGAGAAACAAAAATTTATAACTTGATATATATATTATTTTTTTTTTTAAAAAAAAATATATTTTCCTTCATTAAAAAAATTTTTTTTTTAAAAAAAATGCTTACGACTCGCTTTAGAAGGAGATTGTTGAACAATATCTTCTAACATTTCTAACTTTCGTTTTTGGTCGTCATCAAACCTATATTGATTATTATGAGCAATGGCAGCTGCCAATAATTTTTGAGCTTCCAAATTATCTTCTATTGAAGTTAATCCCCATGGGAAGTTGGGATCACCCACGGAAAATATCGAGTTCGAAGTATCAAAGCCACCATTAGTAGCAGTAGTAGTGGGAGTAGAGGTTGTAGTATAGAAAGGTTCCATTATGATTGTTATTAAAAAAAAACGAAATTAATTAATTTAATTAAAATTTCTAAAAAATTTTATTTTTTTAATTTTGAGAGGGAAAAAAACGTGACGCATTACGATTTTCAATGGAAACCAATGGAATGTTTCTCTTTACGTCATTATTGAACTTTTAAATAGTTAAACTAATTTTGTCTGGTTAGGAAATAAAATGATCTGTGATGTAACCTAAAGCAATATAACACAAAAAAAATGATTTAAACTAAATTTAACCTAATTTTATAATTTATATCTAACATTAGAAATTAGTGGATCTGTATAATAATAATTATGTAATTACGATGATCCAATATAATTTCTGCTTTAAAAATTTGACAATTTTTATTTTTTAATTCTATTATTATTCATCTATAATACAATACAGTAATAATAAATATAATAACAATAATAACATGATAATATCCCAATCTTTTTAAATCTAAATAAAAATCAAATAAAAAAATTGGGTTTAAATAAATAAATAAAAATAAAAGAAATTTTTTTTTTTTATCAAAATAGTTTGCCTATAGTTTATTTTTTTGACTTTATTCCATTCAATTGAATAGAATCAACATGTTTTAATAAATTTCTATTGTTATTCTTTTGTGAATTAGATGATGAGCGATTTATTGCACCTATAAGAAAAGAAACAGTAATGAATTTTATGAATTTTGAAGAATCTGGAGTATCTTTTCTCAAGATTGAAGAAAGATTGTTATTCAAAAAAAAAAAAAAAAAAAGAGAGAGAGAGAAGAAATTAAAAGAAAACTAAAGAAGATAATAACAAACCTAAACATCGGTCAATATCTTCCTTCGTTAATCCACGTGTCAACCCTAATTCATCAAAAGTTTGTCCAGATTTACTTTTTAATTTAACATTTGCTCCTGCCGCAATTAAAATAAGACAAAGCTCGAGATGTTTTTTACTGATAGCTTCATGTAATGGAGTCCTGTACATTTTAAATCATTTTAATATTATGGAAAAATATTAATTATATTAATTATCAATTGATGATAATAATAATAATTAATAATTGAATGATAAATTATAAATTAAATTAAATAAAAAAAATTAAATTAATTAAATTAAATTTTATTGTACCAGTCATTTTCACCCTTTGCATCAATATCCGCTCCTAATCTTAACAATAAAAACACCATTTCAGTATGTCCTGATCGAGCTGCTCGATGTAAAGTTGTGTTCCCTCTAAAAAATTTTTGACAAAATAATTAAATATAAATAATAAGTTAAATAAATAAATAAATAAATAAATAAATATATATATATATATATATATATAAATTTATACCTAAAATCTCGTTGATTAACATTAACTCCGGAATGGATAAGTTCTAATGTAAGCATTACATCTTTTTGTACGAATAGACAAAATGAACTTTTTGCAATATTCAATTTCTCCATTCTAAATAATGTAAAATAACGAAAAAATAAATAATAATATAATTAATATTTTTACTTTTTAAAAAAAAAAATAAAAAATAAAAATTTTGAAAATTATTAAATTAACCTTATAAGTAACATTTTCACGATATCAATATTACCATTGACAGCTGCAATATCTAAAGGAAAGACCCAATCATTCTTTACCGATTTTATCATTTTTCCTGTATTCGAATTTATATAATAATTACCATCACCATCCTTCTTCTTGTTATTATTATAAAATTGATATGGATCAGAAATTACTCTTTTTTTTGTTAAAACTTCCCTGGTTTCAAATGATTCATTTAATATTTTTGTATTATGTTTCGCTTTTAATTTTCTTAATGTATTAAATTGTTCATATGGTAATCCTTGAGAAGGATCTGCTCCATTATCAAGTAAAAGTTTTATTATATTTTTTTTTTCAGAATCAATCTTCATAGACATTTGACTCGCTTTAGAAATAGCTATTATCAAAGGTGATAAACCAAACCATGTTTGATTCATATTAGCTCGCTATAAAAGAAGTAAAAAATATATAATAATAAAATAACATTAAATACAAAAATAATTAAAAAATAGATTGATAAAAAATAATAAATATAATAATAAATATAATTAATATATAATAAATACCTTCAACATTATTCTTACTAGATTATATAATCCGAATTTCACGGCCAAAATAAAATAACTCGGAAGTTTCAATTCCGACATATTATTACGTTCGGTATTCTTGGTTTTTTTGAAAAGTATGGGAGAATTAACATCTCTCGGAATTCCTCGTTCGTACATAGCCAAAGCAACATCTTCTAATCGATGTGTCATGGCCAATAAAAATGCTTTATTAGCTTCATGATTTTTTTTCTTTTTCAATGATTTATTTGGTATATGTGAAAGGATAGCTATTGCATCGGAAGTTTTATGATCTCGAATGGCCAAAACCAAATTATTTAGCAACACTTGATAAAAAAAAAAAAATTAAAATAATATAAAAAACAAATGTTAAATTCTTGTTTTGTAATAATCGGAAAAAATAAAATTAAATTAAGAATCCAGATTTGTATTATACCAGAATCAGTCTTTTTTTTCCCTTTTTTTATTCCAAGAAATTTAAGTGAAACTCCCGAACCACCACGTTTAATTGTTGGTATTTGTATCTTTTGATTTGTTGTATCTTTTATTTTGGAAATTTTTCGTTCTAAAAATAAATAAATAAATAAATAAAAAATAAAAAAATAAATATGTATATTGTATGTGAGATATATATCGTGTTGTTGTTATATCAATAAATAAATAATTAAATGAAATTCAAAAAAAAAAAAAAAAAAAAATATACCATTTCCTTTTTTCCCCTTTAATGTATCTTTATTCATCTCTTTTATGATCCCATCTTTTCTTAGTTTATCATCCTGACGTTGTAAGGATACTAATATTGCTCTTTGCTTTCGTGGATGATTATCCAATCTTTTAAATTCAGCCAATGTTAAATATGGTGGTAATGATGGTTCCTGAGTTGGAAATAGTTTCATCATGGGTGGTAAACTATTTTTACGTATCGCTGCAATAGTGGAAGCTTTAGTGTTATTATTGTTAATATTATCGCCAGAAAGAATCGTTGATAATCGATTCGGATGACGATTTAAAGGGAGAGTGTTAAGTACATTTGTATGAGACGATGAACGTGGGTTTCCATTTGTTTTATTATTATTCGGAATTCGAAGATCGGTTGCTGAGTGAGATTTCGATATTGTTGTAATATTGGTATTCTCATCATTCTCAGTATCGTGTACTGATAAGTGAGGCATAATATTGGGAATGGCTCTTGACTGATAAGTATCATCAGGTGAATACTTGAGAAAAGGTGTCTTTTCTTCAATCGGAGAAAAGAACGAAAACGAAGAAAATAGCTGTTTACTACCCGGAATAGACAACTTGCTAAAAGTAGTAGTGGTTTTCCCTTAAATCAAAAAATAAAAAATAAAGTAAATAAATTATTGTTTCAAGTAAAAATTAGTGCGATTTCAAAATACTAGCCTATACCTTTATTGTTCATGTTTATTAAAAAACGAAAAATTTAAAAATTAAAAAGTTGATAATTGTATCGCATGGAATATTATGCGGGGTATTTTCTTTTTTTTTTCTATGCATCGACAATAACAAATTACACATATTACACAATATATACAATATATACAATGATATACAGTAAATCTCTTTTTTTTTGATAGTTAAATTAACGTCAATATATGGTTCTAAATGGTAAGTGGCACAGCAACTTACTTTAATAGAAAATATACATTTATTAATTGTAAACATTATTATATGAAAATTTATATGTATTAAAATTTTCTAAAAAAAAAATTAAAAATTTACAAATCTAAAATTTTAAATAATAAATATTATATCAAATAATTCATGGATATATTAAAAAAGAATAATATTATTATATTCCATGAATATAGGAAATGAAAACTTATCACCTTCTATTAAATATTATATATATATACGTGTGTAATTCATTTCCCCAAAATTCTCTAAGAAAAAAAAAATCAATTTTATTCGTTATTATGAAACTACTCCATTAACATATCCCCCATCGAATTTTCCTAGACATTTCATCAATGCTTCTAATTCATTTCGAAATCCCTTTATTTCGGAATTTTTCTTATCAATTATAACTCCCCATTTAGATTTCCAACGTTCTAATTGTAATTCTCCCTGTCGTTTAGTCTCGGAAATAATATCTTGCAATTCTTTCTCTCTCTTGAGAAAGCGTGCTTCCATCTCGGAAACATGTGATGCAAGAGTTTCAAGTTGCATTTTGGTAGATTGTGATAATGATGATGATGATAATGAAGTAGAATCTTTAACATCGACTAATTTTTTATTACTATTTAATTGTTGTTGACTTATAGAAAGGGCTTCTCTTAATAACACATTTTCCTCCCGAATCTTTCGAATTATTTGTTTGGCATTTTCATTAAGACCTTGAAGCTCATTTACGTCAACATCATTACCTTCTAATAATGCTATTATTTCTTTATTTTGATCGTCCCCACTATTTGTTTTTGAAATCGTTGAAATGCAATTTAGTGAAGGAACCACATGAGTAATTAGTTCACGTTGTCTTTTAACCACGTGCTCTAGACCTACGCATCTTCCTTTCCATATATTAACTTCTGCCTCCTTTTCCATTGACAATTTTTTTAATTCCGTCACATCATCATTAGAAGCAAGATTAGATTTACAAGTTTGTTGTAAAATAGTTAATGTGTTTTCATGAACTGCTTGTCGTATGGCTTCAGAAGTGGATAATTGTGTCTTTAGTGAAATATTTTCTGCAGTAAGCATTTCAATTTGACTACGAAGTTGTTTCAAATCAGCTGATGTTGAAGAAGAAGAATTTGATATATTAGGATTTATTTGATTTATTTGATTTGATTGATTTATTTGATTTGATTGATTTATTTGATTATCTGATGTAGTCTTTAGTTGTTCCTGTACATTTTGTGGTTTTGATTCATTTAATATCGAAATATCTTGAGTAGATTCATTATTATCATTATTATTATTATTATTATTATTATTATTATTATTATTATTATTGTTATTATTATTATTATTTATTATTGACATTCGAGCTGCTTTCCTCTCTAATTGTAATAATTCTTGTAATTGTTGAACTTGTAATTTAAGTTGTTTCACTGTTGTATCATATCCACTTCCCCACTTCATTTTTTCTCTTGATATTGCCAATAATTTAGATTCAGCTTCATTAGCTCTTTCATGTGCTGCATCTAATTGCATTGTTCTCTCAACAATAGTCCTTTCTAACTGTGCAATTAGTTTTTCTATTACCGAAATTTCTCCATCCTCACCAAATCCAAAAAGTTCCATAATATCATTAGTAATTGGTAATGAAGAGAGATCACTAAATTCATCATCAGGCAAAGCTTCATTAAGAAGTTTTAATGCACCTTCATTTTTATTATTACCTGAAGTAGGAACACCATTAACGACATTATTAGAACTTGTTGTTGTTGTTTGAGAAATTGGATTAATTAAATTGGCTTGATTAACTTGTTGTGTTCTTTCAATTAATTTTTCTAATTCTTCAGTTTTTTCAAGATATGCATTTTGATAATATTCTAATTGTTCTTCTTTTCGTTTTAGTTTATCCACCAATTCCTCAATTATATTCTCTTTACTTTCTAATTCTTTCGTTATATTAGGATCGATGGTGACTGGTGATTGGGAATTAGATATATTATTAATTTTTTCTTCAGGTTTTGTTTCATTAATTTCATTGACATCTGATGTATCTGATTGAAGTACCAATATTAATTCTTCCATTTCAGTCATTTGTACTTTACGTTCTGTTTGCTCTTTCTTTAAAACGTTTACTTCATCTTCGAGTTTAACCTTTACTTCTTTTATTGATTTTATTTCACCTTCTAACTTTTCCACGGATTCTTGATAAGTTTTATTTTCTACTTCAAGTTTAGTAACTTTATCCCTCAATTCAAATACATCTTCGTCATAAAACAAACTATCTTCTTCTAAAATATCAGCTCTACTACTATAACCGCTAGCACTAGATGGAGTAGGACTCACAGTGCGACTCATGGAACTCGTTCGTGACTTATTACCTGCAGATGAACGAGATGAACTTCTTTGAATAGATTTGGTTGTGGGTGAACGAGGTGCTCGAGAAGTTTCAATGTTACCATATCCATAAGCATCCTTGTCAATTGTAGAAGTTGATTTACGTCTTTTTTTCGGAGGAATAAGATTACTCCTCCTTAAATCTGCATAAATTTGCACAACTTCTTGATTAGTGGTTGTATAAACTTCAATTTTTTCAAGGGCTGCTTTCAATTTACGAAATCGTAATTCTTTTCCTTCTTTAGATAATAATTCTTTTTTCGTATTTTCAATTTGTGATTCATACTCAAATTTCATTATGTTCATATCTTCGGTTAATTTTTCGAGAGATTCTGTTTTTGATTGATTAACTTGTTCAATTTCTTCTTGAGCCTCAACCAATTGATGTTCCAAATCATCAACTTTGATCATATAATCACTTTCTATGTCTCTAAGTTTGCTCACTTCCTTTTTTAAACTCTCCGTTTCTCTTAAAGCCATATCTTTAAATTCATATGATTTCTCTTTTTCTTTATAAACAGCAATCTCTTTTTTCATTTCCTCTATTTGTTGTGCTGCATTATCTGGAATGAATCCTTGAGTCTCTTTAGTCTCTCTTAACTCCTTTAATTTTTCAATTTCTTTATTGACCTCATTAATATGTGATTCTTGTTTTTCCCGTTCAGCTTCAAAAACTCTTAATCTTTCATTAAGTGCCTTTGTTTCATTTACCAATCTATCATTTTCTTTCTGATACCCACTAATTAAAACTTCTTGATCTTCCAATTCCCTTTCAATGCGAATCAAATCCTCTTGACCCAAAGCGAGAGGTTCTGCTTGTTGTAAAATAAGATCCTTGAGATCACACTCGTAATTATGAATTTTATTACCAGCTTCCCATAATTCATTTTTTAAACATTCAATTTCTTCTTCTTTAGCAGCAAGGGTATGCGATAAATCTTGATTTATCTTTAAAACAAGTGATTTTTCTGCGAGGGCTACAGTTGAATCATAATATCTCTTTGAAAATACGCCAAGAGTTTCCTGAAATTGTTCCGTTATTTCATCTAATTCGCTAGATATTTCTACAGTTTTTACAGGGGATTTCGAATTACGAATATTATTATCCGATGCTTCAGAAGATTGTTTACTGGATGATGATGAATGAGCTGAGACAATTCTAGCATTCCCTCGACGAAGCACTGTTCGTTTTTTAGTATATCGAGGAGATGCAGGAGATCTAACTACATATCTTTGTTCCTTACGAGGTTTAGTAACATTGGTATCAATAGTTATTTCAGAATTTGACTTAGAATGTCCAGGAGAACGTCCAAAGTGTTTAGGATCATTGGTATCAACAGTTTCAGTTATATTGTTGTTATCTTCTTCATCGTTATCTTCTTTAATGTTAATAATTGGCACATTATTTTCATTGTTTTTACTATTTTCCGAAAAACTTTCTTCAATAGTTTTATTAATAATTCCATTTTTAATAGATCCAGACGAAAAAGACCCATAAATCTGATTATTAGGTATAGAATTATTTTCATTTAAAGGTTCACTAGTAGTATCATCATCATCATTTTTTTTTGAACTTGATGTAGAAGAACCTTTGTTAATTCCCAAGAGACTTGATAAGAATGAACGTGAAGATGAACGATTTGTTGTTGTGGTAGTTTCAGAATTTTTATTTGTTTGATTTTTATTATTTTTTTTAATTTCATCAGTCCATTCTTCGGTGAGTGATTCTGAACTGGATTTCGAATTTTCACCTAAAGAATTATTTGTTATTGTCGTCGGTATTATATTATTAGATTTTTGATTTTTTTTTGATTCTGAGGTACCGTTAGTCATCCCATTCAAATAATTTACTCCAATTTTTGAATCGGAATTTCGAGAACTTGTAGAATTTGTTTCTAAGATTTTCGCTACTGCCTTCAATTCAGCATCTCTCAAAATTTCCTCTGTCATACTATTAGGTATTTTTTTTTTATTCTCATTATGCCTACTAGAAGATTTTCCTGAATTGATTGAATTGATAATTTTTTGTGTTTCGAGAGATAGACTAGAAATGAAATCTTTCGCTGTAGGTTCGCGTTCACCGCGTTCACCGCGTTCACCGATCAGTATTGAGTTACCTGGAGATTTTTTATTTGGCATTGATGAGGAGTATTTATTATTAGTAGTAGTAGTAGTAGCATCAGGTTGTTTGCTTTTCCTTAAAGTTGAACTAGCACTTGATAAACTAGAAGTAGTAGCTTCTTCAGGCTCCGAGTTTCGCGATTGAGGGGACCAAACACTTGCCGGACCAAAATATCGGTTTGCTAAAATAGCGTCACTATCTTCTTTTTCACCGTTAAATTCGTTGTAAGTAGTAGGAGTTTTATTTCGAAAAGATTCTGATGTTTGTGAACTTTTGTAATCATTTGATTCTTGTTGTTTCATAATTTAAACTATAACGGTTTTTTTTTTTTATTATTATTATTAAAAAAAGTGAAACTTAATAATGGTCGAACGCGTTAAAAAATTTTTTATGTAAAATATCATGTATATGATTATAAAATATTATATATTTTTAAATTGTACTATTTCACCAAATAAAAACCTGATACATTAACATATATATTATTATTATCAAGACGAATGTTTGCGTCTTTTTTTTTTTTTTTTTTTTTTTTTTTTTTTATAACATTTATAACCCAACAAATCGGAAAAGGAATAAATTTTTAATAAGTCAAAGTCATAAGTCGTAGCACCGAAGTTAGTTGTACCACATGTTTGGAGTTAATATAAAAGTAATATAAAGTAATAAAACGGATAATAAAAAGGTAATAAAAAGTATTATAAAACGCCTAAATTTTTTCCATTGTGCAAGGCATGCATGATGAAATGTTATCGCATGTCTCACATAGATGAGTCAATAGATTATCCATGTGATAGATTAAAAAAACAATGATATTTTTTCAACGTTATTCTCCTAACAATTTATTAAATTTATCATTGTTAAGAATTCAACGAAATCAGAAAAATTGCATTAATATCCAGAGACTAGGATATGAAATTATATTAACAAGGAATTATACAAATCATAAAAATCATATCAACCATTTAAATCATGTAACGCAAGATTTAGATGATAAAGAAAATAATAATAATAATAATAATAATAAAGATAATGAAAAAAATGGACCAACAACTAAAAAGAACCTTCCTTTAACGAATGAACAAAAAGAACTCATCGATAGTATGATAAGAGTTGATCAAGCAGGAGAAATTGGAGCGAATTGGATATACAAAGGACAAATTGCAGTATTGGGAAAAGATAAAAAAGTAGGACCAGTGATCCAGGTAATAATCTATTTTGCTAATAAAGGAATATATAAGAATGTAACGGATTAATTGATTAATTGATTAATTTATATTTTTATTGGGGGAAATGAAATTAGGAAATGTGGGAACAAGAAAAATATCACCTCCGTACATTTGATAAGATAATCGTTGATCATAGAGTAAGACCCACATTATTACGTCCATTATGGGAAACAGCAGGTTACGTTCTTGGGGTTGGAACTGCCTTAATTGGTAAAGAGGCAGCCATGGCTTGTACTGAAGCTGTTGAAACAGTAATTGGAGAACATTATAATGAGTAAACTTTCTTTTTCTCTCTTTATGTAATGTAAATATAATGAATTATTATTATGATTATTTAATTAAAGGTTATTTTTTTTTGAATAGCCAATTACGTGAATTATTACATATTGACAATAATGAAGTTGCAGATCTTAGAAAGGTAAATATACAATTCAAGATTTATATTTCCGCATCAATTAATCATGTGTTCTAATATTTATGTATTTATTTATTCAAAGATAATCAAAGAATTTCGTGATGATGAATTGCATCATTTAGATACTGCAGTGAATTATGAATCTCAAAAGGTTTTTTTTTTTTTTTTTTTTCCTTTATTTTCATATTTTTTAATTTTAATATCTTTCTATCTAATAATTTCCTTTTAAAATTTCATTTAATAAATTCCTAGGCACCATTGTATAATACATTGTCATTTATAATCCAAAATGGATGTAAAGCAGCTATTTGGATAACCACTAGAATTTAAAAAAAAAAAAAATAATAATAATGATTCGATTTTTCTATTAAAAAAATTATTTATATATTTAATCTTGTATTAGTAACTACGGTGCAGTGTTTAATAAAAAAAAATGTTAACAAATGAATTAAATAAAATTGTTCATTCCTTACTCAAAAAAAATTATTATTATTATTATTATTATTACTATTATTATTATTATTATTATTATTATTTTATTGATTCAATTGTTTTCCGTATTCTTGATCTTCTGGTATAATTAACTCTCTTACATGCCAATCTTCATGACTTCCATCTGGAAGGAATCTTCTCACCATCAAAGGAATTTTTTTATGGCGAAGTTCTTTCTTGGCAATTTCAAGTGGATCAGTTTCATTGTCCCGATCAACTAATATAGGGGCATTCATACTATTTAATTAAGAAAAGAAAAATAAAATAAAATAAAAAAAAAGTCAATAATTATTCAAAGTTTAATAATAAATGAATTTCCGGTAACTCTTTTACCTAATTTGTAACGCCCTAGTTCCTAATATCCTAGCTTTCTCGTATTTTGTCATATATGGTGTAGTAACTCTTTCTTTTTCTTGAACGACTTTTTCTGGTTTATCTACGTCCATTCCATCGCCATTCACTCCGCTCGAAATTATTCCAACCCCGCCTTGTATATCTATACCTTCTCTTTGTTCATCAACAAAACCGTTGGGAAGATCAATATCTACTAATTCATCATCCCCCATATCTGCTTCATAATCGTCGTCCTATGAAAATATTTTTCAACAAATAATTCTAATTATACTATATATATTAAACATTTCACGACCAAATCTATATAATTGTATACTAACTAACTCATAATCATGTCTGCATAATAATAAATATTAAAGTTAAAAAAAATATATATAGATCTATAAAGAAAAAATAGAAAGCTTGAAACTAAAAGTATAAACTAACCCTTCAAAGTCTTCGATGCCTCCGTAATCTTCGTCATCCATTTTTGAAAACGCGAAAAACGAGATGTATAATATAAAAATAATAAGATAGGGTAGAATTCATTTTGAATTAACATAATATTCAAGCCAATCATTAACAATCATTATTATTCTTAATTATCCAATCAGATTAAAATGTTATATTATTTATTAGATAATCGAAAATGCAAAAGTTTTTTTCTTCATTTTTCGAAAATGACGAAAGTTAAAATTGGGGTTATTGGTGGAAGCGGACTTTATCATTTGGACCATATGAAATTTATAAAAGAAATTTATCCGGAAACTGTGAGTATAAATATATATATATATATTTATTTAAAAAAAAAAGGTGTTCAAGGTTTCAAAAAGTTACAAATTCTTATTATTAAATAAATATTTTTAAATATTTTTTGAATATTTTTTTTTATTATTAAATATTTTCTTTTATCAATTATTAGCCATGGGGTTATCCAAGTAGTAAAATTATAATAGTTGAGGACTCAAGAGGTTTTCAAGTTGCTTTTCTCACTAGACACGGTATAGGACATAAATATAATCCTAGTGAAGTTCCTTCGAGAGCTAATATAGCAGCATTAAAACATATCGGTGTAGAGATAATCATTGCATTTTCTGCCGTTGGATCACTTCAAGAAGAAATTAAATGTCGAGATTTTGTTATTCCTGATCAAATTATTGATCGTACCAAAGGAATTCGACCTTCCACATATTTTGAAGGTGGAGTCGCTGCTCATGTAACATTCGCGGATCCATTTGATTCTTTACTTGCTGATATAATTTATTCAAACCGTAAATGCATTGAAGAACCCGAAAATTCTGAAAATGATGAACAATACCGACCGAAAGTAACTTTACATCGTAATAAAACATTGGTTTGTATGGAAGGACCAGCATTTAGTACTAAAGCTGAATCTAAATTATATCGTAGTTGGAATTGTGATGTGATTAATATGTCAGTATTACCTGAAGCTAAATTAGCAAAAGAAGTTGAAATTGCGTATCAAATGATTTGTATGTCAACAGATTATGATTGTTGGAAACAAGATGAAGAAGCTGTTACAGTAGAAAATGTATTAAAAAATTTAAATCAAAATGTTGAAAATGCGAAAAAATTATTATCAGAGATATTACCTGACTTGGAACAAGCTTTAAATGATGGAAAATTTGAGAATCTAAAAGGAGTGATGAAAAAATCTTGCATAACTAATAGTAAAGTTAGGAATGAAGAAACGATTAAAAAGTTAAATTATGTTTTGCCCGGATATTTTGAATCATAATTTGGTTCATTAGAATAGAAAATTGGATATTATTTCTTTCACGTGACATTTTATATTTAGATTTAAAGTTTTTTTTAGCTAACACTTCTATTAAGCAAAAAAAAATAACAAAAATACAGTTTTTAATTTTTGTAAATTGACAATGTCTAGAGACTATTTTGCATAATTCTAAGTTTTGTAGAAGTTATATTATACTTGTAACATTCAAAAAATTAACCCAAAGAAGGAAATTATAAAATGCCAATCAATTTTTTTTTAGCCCATTATAGGTGAAAAATATAAAAATTTGAGTTTTAATAAGAATTGTATTAAAATATTTAATTAAAAATAACTAATTTCAATAAAAAATTCTAAATGATAAATGATTTTATCCATCATGAGCGGATCGGCAATTAAATTTTTTTATAACTTTGACCAGAATTTAATAATCGTACAAGTGCCAAAAAATCTCGTAAGAGTGTATCACCACCAATAAATTTTTATTTATTTCTGCCAAGTTTTTTTTTTCTTCATGCTCTCTGAATTCATTTGTATGTACTGTCATATTAATTGATTTTTTTATCTAATAAACCATATGTACAGCAAATTTTTTAAAACTCTGTTGCGTGTCACATGAAGGTCACATAAAGTAGATTTATTAAATTCCTTTTGAAGATAAAGTTGAGATCAGTGGTCAAGACTAATCGTCGAAGGAAACTGGTTAGACTATATTCTGTAATCAATTAAATTTTTTTTAAAAAAAAAAACTTTTTCGTTCGAAGGATTAAATTCATCCCTTGTTAACTAACTCTGGGAATTAATAGTTAATCTTTCACACAGACGAACAGATTTTCTCTTTTTTTTAACTTTATACTTACAAATACTTACAAATACTTACAAATAAAATTTTAAGATTTATTGATAATTAAATTAATTAATTAAATTATTTTTAATTATTTCTAATATGTAAAAGAAATAATTTCAATTAATCTTTTCGTCATTTATATAATCTATTTATAAATAAATAAATAAATATAAATAATATCTAAAAATGTATAATATAACCTTATTAATTGCAGAATTTGACAGGCAAAAATTTATGCTAAATTTATACTTCAATATATTTTCTTTATAAAAGACGCAGTACGTACGTAAATATATTTAACAGTACATATCGAAGCATAATGTGATATATTTTCTTATCCCAAAATTTAAAATATTAATTGTAAGTATAAAAATAAATTAAACACGAAATTTACATAAATATAGTAAAAATCTAGGGGTATTATATTATCTAAATAGTCTTGTACACAATGGATAAAAAATAGAACGAACTTTTTTTTTTTTTTTTTTTCTTAAAATAATAAAATATTTAATTTATTTTTTTTAACGTATTGTAACATTTAAAGATCATTATATGCTACATTACAATATTTAAAATTATATATAAAATTATATAAAAAATTATATTAAAGAATTATATTTAAATCTTTATCAATCAATTCCCAAAAAGAGAATTATATGTGACAATAACGCTCGAATTATAGCAAAAAGAGATATTCAATGGAGAAAATAGAATAATGGCACTGCGTTTCAAAAAAGAAAAAAAACAAAGGAAAGCACACGATAAGCTAGAGCACATGAAGATTTTCTTAAAAAAAAAGAGTGGAAGGATCGTACAACAAACCAGCATCGATATGCGCGAGATAATCAATGATGACAATAATGATAATACTGAAAAAAATCCTGAAACTTGCAGGATTGCGAATAATAAAATTAATAACAGTACAATAACCTGAATATATAAAGTTAGGGTTATTCAGATGAAGAAAAAGAGGAATCAGATGTGAATCAAATGTGAATTAAATCTTATCAAGAACCTAATCATTAAAATCTCATTAAAAATATCATAGAGGAAGAGTAAACTTTATGAATATAGAATAAATTATATTGATAAAATATATACAAATACACGAATGTAACTACGAATATGATCAAGAATGTACATTGCTTGTACTAACATTAAACGCGTATAAAATGTAAGAAAGAATGTTAATTATATGTACAATACGGTATACTTTCTATATGCTGGTCACTTGCATTCTTCTTTTTTGTATGATACACAAATACAGAATAAAATAAATAAAATAAATAAAATAAATAAAATAAATAAAATAAATAAAAAGATTCAATAAAGAATCCTTTAGGAATATAAATCGATAAACCAATTTTAGTCTATCTAAAAAAAATAATAAATAAGTATTCATATATTCTGTATATTTCGCATATTCGGGATGATAGATAATGTAGCATATTGAGTATATTTAAAGCAATGTATTTAGGTAGTATGCCATTTTAGTAATATATTCAGTAAAAGTATACTTTGAGTTTGGGAATAATCTGACTGAAGGATTATTGACTAAATACGCATTAGGGTTCTAATGACAAATGACGAACGAATAATTTTTAGGCTCTTTTATTAGTCTTACACATATTTTAATTGGTCTCGATAGACAATAAATAAATATTTGTGAAATATTTGATGAAACAATCAAGAATATTTGAATATTTGTTGACATAACATTCTATAGAAAAAGACTCCATAATCCTTTCTGAAAATAGATGACCGAATATTTTTTAAAAATATAAAATATACATATATACTGTGTTCTTTATTTATTATTATAAACGAATATTTACATAAAAATGTTATAATATATTATGATATTTATAATAATAATATATTAGAATTTAAATAAAATAAATAATAAAACAATGATCTTATGCATAACCTAATAATCTAATAATCTAACTAGTGATGTCATTCGCATCTATACTTCATGCCACGTGATCAAAATATGGCCAATCAACGATCAGTGATCATTATTTTATTTCAAAAAAGGTTTTGAAATCCAAGATTTAATTAATTATTGCACGCGTTAAATACAATAAAGTTCAATGTTAATTATTCTAAATTTTATTATCTTTCAAGTTTATTTTTGTGAACCACAAGAGGTTATCCGAGTTCTTAAAAGACGAACAAAAGAAAACAATTACGATAAGTAAATAATAAGACAGTAATTAAAATTAGAATTGTTGCATTTATGCAATTCTAAAATTAATTACTGCTTTACCACTTATTTGTTTGTTTTTTTTTTGTTCTAATGACATTATTAAATATTAAAAGAAATTTGCGTTAACAGAAAATTAGGATAACAAGTTAATTATTTACACACGAATGTTAGATTTTATTGTTATAACAAACAATAAAAAATATTAAAAAAAAAATATTAAAAAAAATAATAAATTTTTTTGGAAAACAAAATAATTTATGCCTTTGATACGAATACTAAATTGGTTAAGTTATTTATTCTTTAAAAAACTAAGAATATGATTTCTTCCAAATTAATCCTTTCACAATCCATTTTAATATAATAAATCAATTGTTTTAAAAAAATAATTTGGAAATATTGGAAGTATTATTTATTGAAAATCAAAAATGTGCCATGATTCAAAATGTCGCCATTTGCCACTTTGAAATAATTAAAATCCTCTTTTCAGGATAAAAAAGAAAAAAATTCTTCAAGAAAAAAATCTTGGTATTTAGAAATCAGGAAAACAAATCATCTTTAGGTTTTTATTTAGATTATTAGATTATCAATTATTTGTCGAGAATGATTTACATGAAATCTCTTGGGACAATTAATACGCCGCCTTGAAAATGATGTAAATGTGCTTATAATGCGCCATTAATCCGCCCTGTGAAACCTTATCATAAAAAATGAGAGTTTGAGATTTGTTAGATTTATTTAGATAGACACTGCATGATAATTGAAATTATTGTAATTGCCATATTGGGTTTTGTTGCACAACTTTTCTTAGTATAATCATTATTTTTTATTCTTAAAATTATAATAATTTCTATATAATAATGAATAATATCCTTTGTGTTTGATATTTTATGATACAAGAAGTAATTCCTTCTTAATTTGTAAGATTTCTAGGTTAAGTTTTAATGAATTCGTACAAAAAGAATTTCTATATTATTACTTATTTATAGTCATGATCTTATGCATTCGTGTTTAATTTTTAATTATATAAATTTCGATGGTTATTTCTTAGTTTCGCATTTTTTTTGTAGGCTGCATTAATTGCATTAGCACCAGCAATTTGTCAGAATACAGTGTAACCAATGCATTTAATTTTTTCCTCTATATATATGACACAAAATTCAAGTCGTGCCCTGATTTCATTTAATTTGATTCTTTAGTAAAAAAGATTCATCATTCCCGCGAACTCCTTTGCTTTTTTACTCTTTTACATCATTTACCATCGTGTTTAACGATTCAAATTAAATAATTTGATTAAAAACAATGAGTTTCGATTATCGTAATATAATTATTTCTTCACAAAGGCAGTGTTCTCCAACGACTTGTGTTGACGGACAATTTTTCCAAAATATAACTCTTTCTTGTCACAATAATAATACTATGAATAATATTAATATTCCAATGATTAAACTTCCTTGGCCTCCTATTATCACTGCTTCAGATTTTTTAAGTAGAAGAAAACAAGTTCAAAGTTTAAGAAGCCCCAACGCCTTCTTAATTTATCGTAAAGCATTTCTAGATCAACTTTCTCATTCTAATCATAATATTAAAATGACTGAAGTTTCAAAAGTAGTTAGCTATTTTTGGAAAAATGAAAAACAGAACGTAAAAGACGCCTACAAAGAAATAGCTAAAGAAGTAGAAAACGAATTGATTGAAAACCGTAAAAAAGATTTATCCACTGTTCGAGTTGTATGGAAAAATTCTAAATTGTCACGAAAACGTAAACAAAATGTTAAATGCTCCAATAATAATAATAATCATCCCAGTAACAATCCGTTATGCATATCATTTGATGAAATGGGAAATAATAACAACAATTCCAACAATTCCTCCTCCTTTCAACAACAACTAAATGACGAATCTTTAAAACAAGTCGATTCTATAGATTCTATTTATGAATTTGTTTCCGTATCTCCTCCGGGATTAATTGCATCTCCTCCTCATTTATCAAGCGACTCTAGTAACTACTCATTGGATTCATCTGAAACAACGCCAATCTTAGGAGTAGAAACGCCAAACCTAACACCAAATTCGAATCTAGAAGTATGTAGTACGCCAATCTTAGGAGAAGAAGCCACGACATCTATCTTAGGGGGAAGAGGAGGTGAACAACAACCACCTATTAATTATTCTCCATATTATTCGTCTTCGCCTTCGTCACCAAATGAAATCAACAATAATTGCGAAATTATTGAAAATCAATCACAGGATTTTTTCTATTTTAACCAATTTCAAGATTACTTTCAACAACAACCAACAAATTACAATTCAAATTATAATTATAATTGTTGTGAAAATAGGATAGATCTCTACATGTCAAATCTCTCATTACAATAATAATAATAATAATAATAATTATAATAAAAATTTCGGAATATCGATGTCGCGCATTATATTTCAAATTACGGATATTCATTTATTTATGCAATGATATTTATTTTTTATCTTTCTCTTTCAAGATATTTAAAATTAAGATTTTATAAGATTTATCGAAATTTAAGGTTTAAATTTAAGTTAAATAATAATATATTTTACTATTTTTATTTTTACTATTTTTACTGGTATGATTTTATAATAGATTATGACATTATGACGACTTTTTTGATTTCAAAATTTCTTTTTTTTTCGTTTTTTTTTTATCGAGAGGATAAACAATTACTTTTTCATTATTCGTTATAATCGAAATATACGCTATCATAGTTAAAATAATAATTTAAATAATTTTTTTGCTGGTTGGTTAAATATTAGAGTGTACAGTATACAAAACTCGAGATTCGAAAATTAAAAATAATAAAAAAATAATAATTATGGAATAATAATTAATGAAATATTAATTAAATATTAATCATGGAAACATTATGAAAAATGGAGGAGGAGATGTTGGGTGATGGTGAATGATTGATGGAAATAATAGGGGTGATTAATGGGATAGTTGTGTTGGATGATGGTGAATAAAATGGAAATTTCTTTTGCGATAAGGTATTATTAATTTTGATAAATGTGGCGATACTTCCCGCTATTTCCATTTTCAATGAGTCAACGAGAGTCAATGAAAGAACAAAGCGACATAGTGGCGTTCGTTGTGTAAACGCCATTAGTGGATTCCAAAAGGATTCCATTGCTTCTTAATTACTTCTTGGCTCGTATTTCGATATTAGTATTATCAAATTCTGACTTGGCATGGAATATTCTTAATATTCTATAATATGCATTGTTTTGGTAAAGAAGTAAATCCCTCTTGGCGAATTTCGAAATTATTACATACGTCATGTATTGATAAATTATTTTTAAAGGATAGGTTTTCTCGAAATTTTTTCGTTATTTTGCAAACATGAACAAAAATAAAAATATACGAAATTCTTAAAGAAAAAGAATATTTTTTAAAAAAATTTTATTATTTAATGTTATTTCAAAGTAGTAATAATCAGTAATTTAATATGGAAATTTTACAAAATTGGCATTTTTTTTTTTATTAATACTCGGGAGACATGGATTACTACCTCTCTGAAATTGTTAAATTAATGCTAAAATTTAAAAAATAATATCCTAAAAGATGCGTATAATGAATAATTTTTATTTCTAATAATAATAATTATTAGCAATATATACGTCCAATCAGAAATAAATCCACATTTTTGTTTTTTTTTATCACATATTCTGTCATTATATTTTGTTTTCCACAGGCTGTTTTAACATGTGATAGTACAGTTTATGTTAGATGATTCATAATAAGTTTTAATATCGTGCCATTTTTTATGTCATTTTTATTCTTTACATTTTCTCTTTTTTAAACAAATTTTTTACTTTTTCTCTTCTCTCAATAAAATTTACAAAAATCTATTTCTTCAAATTCAATAGTTTTAATTATGAATGATCGATCACCATTTCTTGGCCCTTTATTCAATGATATAAAAACTTCAGATATCCTTCTTCGAATTGATAATATTCATTTTCATGCTCATGTCTGTGTATTATCTGTTACTTCAAGATTTTGGAATCGTTATTTTAGATATACAAAACTTCAAAAACGGTTTACTTTACTAAACGAAAAAATTGATATCGACAACAATGATAATAATAATAATGATTGTGATAATTATAGCAATAATAACAATTTTAGTCACGATGAACGAGAAATAATGTTTAGACATGATTATAGTTGTTTGAAAAGTAAATCAATTACAAAATTATATCAATATAAGGGTGATCCTGAAACCGAACTAAATTATACATTCGAAGACTTTGGAATTTTTCTAAAGTATTTGTAAGTATTTTATTATTATAAATTCTTTGTTTTATTATTTCTTTATTTATATTTTTTTTTTTGTTGTTTAATATTTTCGTTATTTTCAAATTTCTTCTAATAAGATATGGGTATCCAATAGAAGAAATTGATGTAAATAAATTTTTTGTCCTTGCTTATCTTGCCTCTAACCACAAATTTGATGTCCCAGAATTATTGGAATTTTGTGATCAAATTTTATACGAAACGGTAAGTCTTTGATTTTTATTTACAATTTTTCAGTTACGCTTTTTAATTATTATTATTATTATTTTTTTTTTTTAAAAAAAAAATAAAGTGGGGCTGTCAAAGTTGGCGAGTTACATTGAGAGTATCTAAATGGATAGGATTAATTAAATTAAGATTTAAAATTTTGAAATACATATATTCTAAAGGAGATTCCATGTTTTTAAGTTATATATCTAAAGAACTTGATGAATTTGATTGGAAAATTATTTATGTTATTTCTGATAAAGATCCATGTTGTAAATCCGATTTTGAAGAACTTTTTAATATTAAAGAATACGAAGAATGTGAAGATGAAAATCAAAGTGAAGAAGGAATAAAGGAAGAGGAAAGTGGAGACGAAGTAGAAGAAACGGTAGAAGAGAAGGAAGATGAAGAAAGTAAAATGTTCGAAGATGTCACGCAATTTGATAATATTGCCACCATAGAAAATGAATGTATGGAAATTAAAATGACGATTGAAGATTACAATTTGCAAAATAATGATAATAATGAAGATAATGATAATGACGGCGATAATAATAGTAACGATAATAAAGAAAAAAAGGAAAATTATGAAATGATTACTGTCAATTCTTTCTCCTCCGGAAGCTTTTACGAAAATTTTAAAAATTTATATATGAATAATGAGAATAGTAGCGACGATGATCATCATGTTCATTGGGGACAAGTTCAAACATTTCAATATTAAAAAAAAATTTATTTTTAATTTTTATTTTTTGCCATATGATCATAAATGTCATGAGATGCATAAAATTTAAAAATAAATCATATCATAAAATCATAGAATTAAATAAAATTGGTTAAACCTTATGTCCTCCCTTATTTGGTACGCATAATCAAACACGTGTAAAATATCATAATTTAGGATTAAAAAAAAATTCCGATTGAGCGAGAAAGTCGAGAAAAGTGTTCGTTGACACCAAAAAATCACCTCAGAGAATTATGTTAAAAATAAAATAATAAAAAATTCAGAATGACGGCTTCGATAATTTGTAAAAACGACATTTACTGTGATTCGGATTCGTTAAGGTTATATTGTGAATCCAGATTATTATCGTAAAACATAGATTCATTATGGTGGAACAATGTTAATTGTTCATCAAGATTAGGGCTACCAACCCCACCATGGAATTGGTTAAAGGAATCATTGTTAAAATTTGTGGGATTTGAGAGATTTGCTGTTGGTTGGGAAGAAGAAGAAGAGGAAAAAAGTAATGATGATGATTCCATTGGTGGCGCAAAAGTTGTCAGAAAATGTCCGGATAAAGGAATTTGGTTTTGATTGATATTTTCAATAGAAGAAGTTGCATATAAATTATTTAAATTATTTAAATTATTCAAATTATTTAAATTATTGAAATTATTTTGAATGAAATTACTCGAAACATTTGAAACATTTGAAATATTTGTCGTATTCACGGTGGATAATTTATATTCATAAGGATTTTCAGAAATGTACGCAATCCCTTGATTATATCGAGGAAATGGTGGTTGTTGTTGTTGAATCGTTGAACTTGCTGCTATCTTTTGTTCATTATCTTTCTTTTTTTTAATATCTTTCAATAATATTTCCACCTGACATGCAATTTCTTTGTACGCATCTCTTACGAATGAAGGTTCGTTTTTCCAAGATGAACTAATAAATGGAGAAACATCAGTCATTTTTGCTTTAATACCATGAACACGAAGTTGATCAAGGTAAGCTCTTCTATAGATAAAAAATGCGTTAAGACTTCTATTTGAAATTGTCTTAAATTTTCTTCCTCCATTGTTAATAAAATCTTGAGGTTTTACAGGTGGTGGAAAAGGAACCTTGATAGATCCAAGATTCATGCTTAAAAATATTTAACAATAATAATAAAAAAGAAGATTGACTCCAATGAACATAAACTTGTTAACAATAATTAAAAAAGAATAATAATAATAAAAAAAAAAGAAAATTGATGCCAAGGAACATAAACTTGAAGCACCAAAAATTCTTAACGATGAAAAGACACATTATTTTTATATATTTTTTTTTGTCATTCAATTAAAATATTTGAGAACACAAATTACTTGACCGCAGAATAACGAGAATTTCATAATAATATTTTCAATGAAATATGTATTAAAAAAGAAAATCATTACATTAATCATTGTACATTGTATTATTATTCTTTTTTTCTTGAAGAAACTTGAAGAATGATGCAAGATTAAATTTCCCAATTTCTTTCATATTATCCATCGAATTTTAATTAGGCTTTCTGTTTTTATTCATTCCGATTACTAAATCAAAATTGTTTGTTTATTTTTGAAATTTGTATTTATTAAAAATTGGGAAACAAGGGATTTTTTAGTGTTTCAATTTTTTCTATTTTCACATGACATAGATTTTTGTCTTTGTGGTAGTTATTCGCGTCATTTATAACTCAATTATTTATAAGTATTTATTTTATTTATTGTTATCCGTTATTATCCATTATTAATTAATTAATTTTTTTTATTTTACTTGATGAAAACGTCATTAGTTTAAAAGATTCGGGCAGTTCCTGTTGCTCATGTTTTACCAAAAATGAAAACCATGAAATACCAATAAAGGGTTTACTAAAATTTCATCAACGATCGCATGTTTTTTGTTTTGTTTACTATATTTAAGCATAAATGCAAATAAATCCTAATTATATAACCTTTATCGAAAGACCTGTTAGGCAACACTTTATGCAGTAATTCTATTCCTAGTTGCGTAATAATTTTCATTATATAATATATTTATTAACCAATTTTAGAAAAGTTAAGACGAATTTTTGGAGATTTTATTCTTTAATTTCTTTCCGGAAAATTAATTTCTCATTATACGCAAGTTTACTAAAATAAATAAATGAAATTTATCATAAGATATAAGAAGTAAAAAAAACTTGTCTTCAAATGTATTACTCGAAATTAATAATTAACAGATCAACTATTTTTTAATAGATAAATTAATAGTTCTTATTCGTTCTTCATTATATTCATTATTGATTTAAATTATATAAAATTAATAATGACAAATAATGCGCATAACACGGAATGTAAATTCCGGTATTCTTTTGTCGATCTAATTGCCTTGTTGTCGAAATATAAAATTTTTTCTTGAAATAAAATTATCGAATAAAGGCGTAACGGAGTAATATATTTAGTAAATTTAATGTATTAAATTTCCATTGTTTCGTCATTTTTTTAAATTAATTTTGATGCCGCAGTCGCAGCAAAGTCTATTTAATCGTTTGAACCAATTTCTTGGTAATGGGACACCAAACGTGATAGATGTCTATAAATGTCATAAGAACATCAGAAGAGCATCACATGGAATCACAAGAACATTAATAAAGCGAAATCATAATAATTAAAAATGAAAATAGAATATGGTTTTTTTTTGGGAATCAGATTCTATTTCTCATCTGTTGTCATTCGTTCCATAAATAATAATAAGTATAATAAAAATAATTATAAAGACCAATCCTTTTGTATTTTCAAACCAGCTTTTGAAAAGAAGCAATCCTCCTGTAAATATTTCAAATCCTCGATCAAATGTTTCGAAATTCACCAGGCATAGCATTTATAGCATAGCAATTATTTATAAATACGTCTCTAAAAGCGCATTCCCTCTTTTAAATGTACCTATGCTCCAGTCCCATCCACTAATAACATTTATAAAATTACCCTCTATAAATTTCTTCTGTAAAATTTCCGTTAATTCTGGGTGAAATTGACTATATATATATATAATTGATTTTGCTAATCTTCGAATTCAAACTTCTGGAAAGTTCTAAATAATCAATTTAAACATTATAATAATGATTTTAGGCAATCGTCATGAAACCTTTGTCGTCATTATCAATTTTTTATTCTCGCTATTAATTTGTATAAATTTTTTCCTCCCCTCCTTCAATTGACATAAAATTATATTTCTCGATTAAATGAATAGGGCTGCTCACCAATGAAAGATCCAGATGGAGCATTTAGATATTATGCTCTAAACATTTTTTTTAATTTCTAAAGCCATCATGTGTTTCAAGGATGATAGAATTCATCAAATATGATTTCGAACTAATGATTCCTCACGAATATGTTATTGAAAATATTGTGACGATTATATATTTTGATGGTACAGATATATTGAATGATTTTCTTGATAGAATAACTTTTATAGGATTTACCAATAGATATTCTGAACCTGGTAAAGATTCTCAACAGATGACAATGTCACAATTGGTTGGCATTTAAAAGGTTGTGATTTTATTAATAAATTTCAAAGTTTGGTTTAAAAGAAGTGATAATACTAATGCTTTTCTTGAAACAAAGTTAAATCCTTACTCTTATGGATCATCTTTTAGATAAATTAGGATGAATGAATTCTTTAATTATTTCTTTAATTATTAATTTAATTATTAATGGTTATTTATAATGCATAGATATTCTACGGGGTAAGAAATTTATATTATGATATAGATAATTCTGTCTCATGCTTTTTGCAATACAATAGGAGAATAGGAGTTCTTGTTTTACATACAATTTTGTTCTTTACGAAATAACGATAAATAATTTATTCTAAAAGAATCTCTACGGTAAATATTCGTTTTGAAAAAAGTTACCATAAAGATCCCCCCAAATATTTGGAACAATTGCTTCTTCTTGTTCAGAAATTAGTTGAATAAAATTTTCATTAGAAAAATCCTTTAACAAATTTTGTGTTGATAGATAAATTTCTTTATCGTCAATTTCATAATTAACATTAAAATTAATTTCATTATTAGTTGTTGCTATTGGGGATGATGATGATGTAGAAGGAATTATATTATGTGATGATATTGATGTAGATACCGGGTCGTGAGATTTATCAAAAGATTCGTTGTAAATTTGATTATTACTTTGTTTAATATCTTCGTGATTCAAAGGTTTACCACAAAATCCATCAATAAATATAAATGGTCGTGATCGAGAAGAAGAATCTGATTGAAAATTATTATATAAATCTTGCTGGCGCATATCTTTCAATATTCTATAAACTTCTCGTGCAATTTCTTTATAAGCATTTTTGACATGTTGTGAGGCAATTTTCCAGGATGCACCAGCGAGAGGTGATACATCAATCATTTTATATTTACATTTTTGAACTTTTAATTGATTAAGATATGCTTTTCGATAAATAAAGAAAGCATTAGGACTTCTGGCTGATAGTCGTTCTGGTCCTCGTTGGTTAATAATTTCTTGAGGCGTTATTTGAGGAGGATAGGGAACTTCAATAATATTTGAACTTAGATTATTCAACATTATCAAATATGTGTATTTTCGATATTTTTATATATTTTTTAATATTGTTTATATAATTTTATATTTTTTTTTCATACTTGTATTTATAAAATATATATATAAATATATTTTGGAGTAGAGAAGAAGAAAGATGGATTATTTATATATTTATTTAAAAGTTTATCATAAGATCTAGAATCTATAAATTAGCCAACGGAGTTTGAGAATAAGTTTATTTCCGTATCAAATTTATATTAAAATTATTTAGTGGTCATACTGGTATTCACGATGAATTATATAATGTATTGTATTGCATAGATAATGGGTTTATTTATATCTATCGTATTTCAAATAAACGGAAGCAATTGGCTAAAAGATAATAATAATATGTACCTGGAAAAGATAAGAAGGAAAAAAATTTCAAACAAAAAAAAAATATATATAAGATAAGAAGGAAAAAAATTTCAAACAAAAAAAAATATATATATTTCACTAGTTTTTAATTTATCTAAATATAGAGAAATTTTTGGAAATGCAAACGCGAAATTTATTTAATACATAAAATCAATAATAACCTTTCTTTTTATTCATCAACAAAAATGCAGAATAAAATTTATCAATTTCATTTCAACGGAATCTATTTTCCCTTGTATTTTTTTTCACATTAAAGATTATGAATAAACTCATTTTACCCACGTACAATCAATTAGGTTCTTTATTATCATTACATAATTTTATTTATTTTTATTAGAATAGAAAGATGAAAGATAAGTTTGCGGGGAATTCAATACAGGTTTCATAAATTACAATCGATTGATTTGTAGAAGAAAAGGAATTTTTTTTTTTTTTGTGGAAATGGATTTCTATTTTTCTCGAAAGATGTTTGAAATTGGAAAAAGAACGTGTTTTTCTGGCAAAACGCATTTGTGTGGCTGAAGTGGCTGAAATATGCATGTGCGTGCTGGAATAAGATAAATAATGATACACCAACATCATCCACAAGAGCCACAGTACGGAAATAGTTTAAACCAAAAAATTTTTCCTTGTGCGTGTGTCTGTGTGTGCGGTATTTAAAAAAAAATCATAATACTTTTTTTTTGCTGCAAAAAAAACTATTGTCACATTCATTAAAATCTTTTTGGCTTGTCGAAAATGGGAAAAATCAATGAATCCAAAAATTCTATTTATAAAATTTTTTGAACTGTTTTTATTGGTCAAATCAATTTTTTGGTTATCATATGGCTGATTTGTCTCACATCGACGTTTTTATTAAATTTCATATAATACCCTAAAAAATACATATTTATTTTTTTTTACGAAATAAAAGCTCGAGTCACCTAATCCCAGCAAATTTTGCATCCTATATTTAAAAATTGTATCTACTCTTTCTATATTAGGTTAACTTTGTAAATCTAAACACTTAAAATTTAGAACTTCAAATTACGATGTTAAAAATTATATTTTGATTATAATATAAAAAATTCAAAACAACAAAACAAATAAAAAATTAAATAAAAAAATTCTTTAATGGAAGAAAGTAATGAAAGTAACGATTATAATAATGAAGAAATAACTTGGGATCATGAATTGGATGAAAGAGATATAATTATATTTAATAAAAAAAATTAATTTTTCGATTAAAATTTAAATTCTAATTTGATCAAAATAATAATTCATCTTGTAATGCCGGCCATAAATAACATGATATTTACAATTCAAATTTGTCACCCTAATATTAATAGTTGCTGGGATTAGGTGACTCGAGCTTTATAAAATTCTAAAAACGTAATTTTAATAAAAATGCGATTTCGATTCGAAAACAAATTCCCAACAAAAATCCACCGTTCTTTGATGTCGTCGCGAAGAAAAATAAAAAAATAATTTTGTGACAAAATCGAATGAAAACTTCCCGAATTTTTTAAATTTAAATTTCCTTTTTTAAAAATAACATGTGCACGCGGAGAACGATATTAACTATATTTACATGTACTTGATCTTATAAGGCATATGTTCTTAATTTCATAACTTAATTTCATAACTTAATTTCATAACTTAATTTCATAACTTAATTTCATAACTTAATTTCACAACTTAATTTCATATATTGATTTCATAGTGTTCTTAATTTAATTGAGGAATGTTTTTTAATTAATAATTTAGTCTTCGTGATTTATGAACTTTCTAAAATTTCGATTAACCACGAATTCTTCAAATTCGTGATGGGGAAGAATTAACTTGAGATATCTATCTTCCTCGTCTTCTGATCCAAAGTAAGGAAAGTCAGGACGAAAGTCAAATGATCTTGAACAATAAATGGATCTGTGCGAATCGGTGAAATTATGTTTTCTTTTTTTAATTAACAATTCGTTTACTTCATCTGCTTTATTTTTATATTCATCTTTGATAGGCTTAGGTAAGTTTCTCCAAGAATTAGCGATAGGTTTGGAAATGTTTCCCCTCACTTTTTTTCCATGTTTTTTAAGTGTTTTGCAACACACTTTTCGATATATCATAAAGCCATTTGGAGGTCTGCGATGAATATTATCTCTTATTTCGTCTACCATCTTTTGGGCATCTATTTGTGAGGGTGGAGGAATAATATTATTAAGGTCATTTTCGTTAAATTCATACATTTCCTAAGATAATAGAGTTGATGGTAAAAGTCAATTGAAGATGGGACCTCAATGTTGAAAAGTTGAACTTTAGAAGGAGTAATTTATACAGAATTTTTATTCCTAGGAAACACGATTGCGTGATTTTTTTTTTTTAATGTTTATTGCAACGAACACCAAATTAATTAAAGAGTATTTCATAATAACTATTATATATTCATTTAAATCTTTAAATATAAAGACATGAAAGATATTTTAGTTGAACATTTAATTTTAATGCTTTTTTAAATCTATTAAGTTTCCAAAGATATAATCAAATGAAGATGCATTATTGCATTAGTAATAAATAAAATGAATAGAACAAAAAATAGAATTTTTTTTTTTGTATTTTATTTTCCTTTTCCTTTGATCTTGATTTCAATTATAGAATAATCGACTCGAAATGGTAGGCATAATTTTGTATAATTATACTTAAGGAAAAGATAAATTGTAATGACGTGAAAATTTGCTTATTACTTTGTTAAAACATTTTTACCAATAATACCAGTATAGTAATTTGTAATGGCAAAAATTACATTTATTATTGATTATCGTGTAGAAAAAATTTGACATAACTGGGGTATTCGGAGATCATTACCTAATTTCCTTAGTAATTTCCTTTCTAAGAATTCTGAGTATCAAAAAAAAAAAACGTGGGCAGAGACGAAATGTTTATAAAATCAATTGGTCTTATAATAGTTTATAAGACTTGATCGGATAACTCTATCCGTAGATTATAACTTGTAAAAAAAAAAAAATTACTACTAAAAGATTCTTTAGTATACAAATATAGAATAACAAATAATTAAGGAAAAAAGAAAAGTATTTTTAGAATAATATTATATATATTGTTTTGTAAATTTGGAAATTTGAAAGAAAATTTGAATTCTCTGCGGATTTTGAAGTATCGTAAAAAAAAATAGATTATATGTATAGATTTTAACTTATAATTATAATATTCGTGATATTTAATTTGTAATTATTTTTCTTAATTAGCTAACAAAGTATTTTATAATTTTTTAGGTAAGCTTTTGTTAGAATTATTTAAAAAAATTATTATATAAAGGCTTGAAATTTTTTGAAGTTTTGGAATTGGAATTTTCAGCAAAAAATTTCGGTATAAATATTTTTATAGCCATTCTATGAAAATATGAATAATAATTTAATACTCGAAAGTTCTTATATTATTCAACTCCCATTTCCACCCGAAATTACGGCTAAAGATTTCATCAATCGAAGAAATCCGGATCGATTCTCAGCAAAAGGTCCCAATGCGTTTTTCATATTTCGTAAAGAAATAGTCTCATATCTAAAAAAAAATAATTTAAAATTCAAAATGCAAGAAGTGTCTGCGATTGCCGGGAGGTCCTGGAAGGAATCACCACCTCACGTTAAAACGACATACAAATTAATTGCAGAAGAAGTTGAAATACTCTTAAATAAAGTTCGTAATAAGCTGAATTATGCAACAGAAAGAATGAACATGTTTCCGATAATTCAACATCAATTTGTTGATTTGTCATCACAAACCCAATTCTATGAACAAAATTTATATACACCCGAATTTGAATACGAAAGTATTAACAGCGAAAGTATTATTGACGAAAATACTGTTGAAGAAAATATTAATCCGCCGGTTTTTCTTGAAAATTTTGACTTAGATTATTTGGGATATTTCTATTTCAATTTTCAAAAGGAAAACAACGAAAACATCGAAAACAGCGAACTGGATATAATATATGAATGGGGGGATATGATAAATAATTAAATTTACGATATTTTTCTATTATATGATCTTTATTGTTTTGTATTGTGTAATATTTAAGATATTTAACTTTTTTTCTTGAAAATTTGACATTTGATTATTTAAAATTAAAACTAATATCCGGATTTTATTGAGTTTCCGGAGATGTAAAATATCTGAATGGGGGAATATGATAAATGATGAAAATTTATAATAATATTTAACATTTTTGATTACTAAAATTTTTTGAAATTTATGACATTTTCTATAATTCATCATTGTTTTTATGCTTTTATGACCAAAAATTAAGAAAAACATCATTATATGTATTAATTAAGATTTATGTATAGAAACTTTAATAAATATTAGTTATTATATTATAAGATTTATATTAACCACGTGATTTTAATATAGATTTGATCGTCATGTTAAACAATTATTTACATCCCTTAAACGGTAGCGACGTCACAAGTTACTAATAAATTTGCCCGCAATTCACATGATTTACCGTTTAAGGGATAAGTTTATGGTAAATCAATTATAATTTTTTTTTTTTTTGCTTTTTGAGGTCATTCTCAATCTTCAAAGAAATCAAAAAATAGATCGATTTTAAAAACAAGAACAACAAATCAAAGAGATTTTTTTTTTACTAAATAATTTATTTTAAAAAACCAAAAAGAGGATAATTACATAATTTTTTGTAAATTTTACACTATTTAGGCAACATAATAAATATTCTAAATTTTTAATTTTTTTTATAAAGAATATGTTAATATATGTTTAAGAACATATATTGATAAAGTTTGAGACTTTTAATTAATTGCGGGGCGATTTTGTTAAAATTTTGCTAAGTTATAATGTTTATAATTATTTTATACTAGATCAAAAATTAACGGACATAACTATTAGCAATTAATAATAAATTACATATTATTAATAACTATGCTTTAAATTAATTTCGATAAAAGAAGCCAAAAGTATACATAATGGTAAATGCATAGGAGTCAATAAATGGATGGAACTGAAACATGAGACACATATTTTCTTGAAAATCTGATATTTTATTTCTGTTTAATATATTTACATTACTTAATTATTCGATTCTTTTTTCTACTTGAAATTAAATAAATGCATAAAAATAAAGATATAAGCCTTTATATAAATATATTCTGTGAATACTATTATCATAAAAAACTTTGTAATTTTGGGAATATTTGAATTTATTAAAAATACTATATTACTGTTATATTCAGTAGTTTATATTGTCAATATCTCAAAGAAATTTTTAGTAGCTTATTATGTATCACATGATTTCTAAAATATTGTTCGTGTTGTAAAAAATTGTACCTTTTATTTGTTTTTTAATGTAAAAATACTCAAAATATTAAATTATGTTACCTGTCCATGTGACAACTGGTATTACAGAATTGTTTTTGTTTGATCCAATTATCACTAGACATATGTTCTATGCACTGAACTGTTTTAGAATTAGATTGCACAATTGCACAAATAATTTGAATATTTATTAAAAAATAGTATTCTAATTTTTTAAATGTCAATTATGCGTGAAAAACTCTTTTTTAATTTTAGTCTTACATTACCTGTTTGCGACGAGAAGATTTATTCCTTGGCATTATATAAGTGAGTAATAATTTATTTTTTCTATTTTTCTTCGAATATTTTCTAATATTTTGAAAATTGGAAGGGGCTGTGCCAACAAATACTTTTATGATAATATTGTTTTTCTTTGTTTGAATTCTTGATGGATGGTTCAAACTTCGTTGATCAGAAATCTGATACAATGTTCGAATTTAGACAATCATGATTATCTTTTACACGTTCTCCTATTTTGGGATTCGGTTTTTGGATTTGTTCTAAACCTTCTTTGAATAATTAATTTAAACAATTTTAAATAATTTTAAATAAAAAAAAAAGCGAATATTATTTTCTTATTTAGTTAACCGAATTCAATTATGTGGTGTGACATCGGTAATTTATGTTCTGCCTCGAAATGATCTTTAATATTCCGAGTGAAAAAAAAAAAACCAGCTAAACCTGATATCTCATAGAACTTGAAAATCAAAACATACGATTTTTTTTTTCTGTGGGAAAAACATATTTATCATTTCCTTTTTTTAAAGTTTTTTTTTTTTCAACATCTAAGAATTTGAATAATGAGAATTACATTAACCAAAGATTGGGATTTGATTGTAATGCAATATTAGACAATAATACTAGTTATTAGAATGATTTGTGGTTTACGTTCTCATTAATTCCTAACTTTACTGGTCGTAATACTTTCTAATTGACCACAAAAAATTACAAAAAAATGAATTTCCAAATAAAACAAATGGCTAAATTTGTAAGAGGTACGAATATATGCAAAAGAATAAAGTATGAATATATGCTTATGCTTAGAAAAAATAAAGTTAATAATATTATTTTATTTATTTATATTTATTGTTTTAACATATTGATTGTTTTATAATTTTATTTATTTTATCACTAATAATTAACTATATAAAAGCCGCGGGCATCCTGTTCAATACAAAAACCAAATATCCAAAAAATAAAAAAATAAAAAAAAAAATAAAAAATGTAATAAATTTTCTTTTATTCTTTTACGATATTTTATTTTATCGACACTTTTTTTTTTTAAAAATTACTGAAGTATCGTCGTAATAATTCTTCATACATCTTATACATTTTTTTTTCTTCGTTTATTAGTATTTTCTTTATCACGCAGTCTGGATTTCGTTATTCGCTTTATATATTTTAAATTTCGTTCGTAAATATAATAAATATAATTAATTTCAAAAAAAGTAGGAAAATCCGAATTTTATTTCTTTCAAAATTTTTTGGCTAAATCCATCACAAATTTTTTTTTTTTTTTAAACGAAACTATTTTTAACAATTCATTTTTAATAAATTAATATTCCAAACGTAAATCCTTTATGAAAGGAAACCCTGTCGACTTCTTTAATGAGCATTGCTCACGGATTTTCAACTTCAGATCAAAACGTCATTAACCTAATTTGTATTTTTAATTTTTTACATTTTATATTTTAAATTTACCAAATACCTTTATTAATCGACCGAATTTTTATTTAATGTCTTTTATCGGCTAGCTGGACTTGCATCAAGTTTTTATTATCAAATAATTTTTTTTTTCTTTCTTAATCTAGTTTTACTTAGTAACTAAAATTTTCTTCCTTTTCATTTAAAAACCTAGTCCAACAATGTATATAATTCTTTTGCATGGACAACTCTTGCATTTTTTTCATTTTTCTTTACCGGTTAAACATATAGACCATTCAAATAATAATAATATATATATACGAGAAATTAATTTAATGATTTTTTAAAAAAAAAAAAATTTCTTCAGAAAAAAATCTTCCTTTCATTGTAGAAAGAGAAGAGAAGAGAAGAAAAAAACATATATATAAATTTAAAAAATGCGCATATATAACAAAGCAGATTATTATTGTTAGCAAAATATTTGCATTATACATTTTTATATAATACTTACATATATCACATATACTACTTATTTCATATACCACATATACTACTTATTTCATATACCACATATACATATTCGCCTATAAATATACTATTACTACTGTATACCTTAATTGAAATATAATTCCCGACAAAAATTCCCCACCGCGTAGTTGTTCAAAAAGAAAGAAAACTGCCGGAATTTTTTATTATTATAATTTAGACTACCTTTCCACCAATAACTTTTAAGTTATTGTTTTTTTTTTGACTACTATTGACTACCTTTCCTACCTTATATTCAAGAGATTGAAGAGATATATAATTGTCTTATTTGACATATCTCTCTTTTGATGAATTGGCTCTCTTTCATCAATAATTTCAACAATAATTAAAATTTTCATTTTGAATGTTTCAATTTTTGAAATTTTACCTCTTGAATAATTGAGAGATTGATATTAATTTATTGATCTTTCTATATTGACTACTAAAGACTACCTTTCCACAATTTTGGTGAGTAATAGAAAGTTGTAATTATTATTATAATTTTCAATTTTCAATTTTCATATTCGCCTTTTTTCTATCTTATAAATATCAAAGATAGTGTTTTGACGTATTACGGCAGTTCGATTTTTGAACGAGACAGAAACAATTTGAGACATTATTTTGAGTGGTAATGAAACGTCAATATAAAACAAGAAACAATGTTGACGAAATTAAAAGGAAGCGTATCTCTAATGACTACCATGACAACAGGATTAATAATGATGATAATGAAAATGATAATTTAATTATAACTTCTTCAACGATAAGTGTAAATATACCACTCGAAAGCATAGTCCATTCAACTATTTATACAACTTCAGAATTACTACCACGGAATGAACTTCTATCACAAACGGAGCAAATGAGAGGATCAATAATGGCAACTCCAAGTCCAATTAACCGATTAGGAGAAGATTATCCAGAACAAAAAGAAGGTTTTAAAAATTCAACTCCAACATCAACACCAACATCATCAGCAACGTTGCCATTGCCACTCGCTCAAAGTACTTTTAATATTTTTGCTATAGTGGGTACTATAGTAACAATAATAATTATAATTATAATTATGATTACCATTATACAAAAATCTATATTTATAAAAGAAAATGATGATTGTCATGAAAGAAATAGATTTTCATTTTTTTGGAGGTTTATGAAACATAATAATAATAGAGATAAATTACCTATAATGGCTTCAATTAGTAATAATACAGACAGTTCTTCAGAACAACGCTTATCAGTGATATCTTCCTCTAAAGGATTAAGAGATTCACAAGTGCAACAATTTGATTTAATAGATAATAATAATGATTCCGGTAATGAAATTACGAATGAAATTGATGAAGAGATTTACAAAGCAATAAATGAAGATAAAATTGAAATAGAATCATTGGCTTCATGTGGTTCGGATACGATAGATTTGAGACCTTTAGAATCACCTAATTGGGATGAATGTATGGAATGACTTAATATCCTTAATATCCGGCTCAGTACATCACACAAATCATATGTGTATATTTTAGTAGTACATTTTAATGATGATGATGTATTTTAATGATGTATTTTAGTGGTATATTTTTTAGTGTATTTTGATTGGGCACATATTTTATTATTTATCAGGATACACTTAATATATATATATATATATATAATGTTAAATCCTTCTAACAATAATAATAATGTATAGTGATTTTATTTTAGCGTATTTCTAATAAATTAGCGATTTATTTTTATTATAGTAGTAGTTTTACTGAGTAAAATTACTTTTTTTTTTAAAAAAAAAAATCTTATTTCGACAAAACTTTCCGTAAAAATCAAGTTTTTTTCAATTTATTACATTAAATCGATTATTAAACATTTTTAACGTTACCTTTTGTTTAAGAATAATTCATGAAATAAAATTTCTTATTACACACGAAAAATCTTATTTATTGACTTTATTATGAACACGAATTCAATTTCGTGAAAGTGAAGTGCTTCTCATGGTGTGAACAATGTTCTTTTCCAATGATATATACACATATTCTCGGGATCTAAACATTGTACTTTGGCTTTTTAGTACTACCACTTTGTACTGGTAGTACGTACATAATCAAAAAAGAAACCTTTGCATTGTTCAAATTATCACGTGTGTAAATTGTGTAATGTGAAAGATTATCATTCAAAACAATAGTTACGTTCGTTTCGTTCTTCATTCTGCAACCTTCTACAACCGTTAATAATGTTTTTTTCAACAACATTTTTTGAGCTTTATCAAGATTTTTTAGATTCCATATTTTTCCAAAGAATTTTTGGGTGGCTGATATCAATTTGCCTGAACTTATTTCTTATCATAAAGAAGAAAGATCGATTCGAGAGGAATGATAATAATAATAATACTATGAATCGAGTGGAAATGTTCTGTTTGATATTAAGTGTTTTAAATACTATTTATGTCTGGACCAAACAAAAGAAATATCGCTTTTTTGGAAGAGATCTTTTACAAAGACCGAGAGTTGCTAACGCAAGACTGATTGATATCAATCTACCATATCTCGCACAAAATATGTTTGGAGATTATATGTATGAATTTTAATCAATTTATAATGGTTTAATTTAATACTATTTGATAATTACTTGATAATTACTTGATAATAACTCGATAATTACTTGTAATTATATATTATTTATATTATTTATATTAATGGGGAGTGACAAAAGAATACTAATAAATATTTTTAAAAATATTTGATTATTATTATTATATATATACATATATATTATTATTATTATTATTATTATCATCATCATTTATTATTATTATTAGGATTCGAAAATTTTACGAAGTTTCAGCTGACCTTCAGTATAGAGGAGAATATGTTTGGCAAGTTAGTGTATGGGATCCCAACGAATTTACACTTAATTTACATTGTGGAATATCACCTGTTCACATTGGAATCATAATACTCATGCAACCCGATTATTGGATCTATTATATCGGATTATTAATACTCTTAACTTTTCAAATGTATATAAATATCAATAAATATGCATCATTGGTTAAAGATAGGCAAGCGATATATGGAGAAGTTCAAAGAGTATATGATGCAAAATTTGTTAAGGGAAAGAATAAAGTTCCTATCACGAAACAATCCATTTCAACACAAACCAATGCATTTGATGCATTTGATATAAACATGGCACAAAATGATCAAGAAATGAATCAATTATTTATGAATTTTCGAGATATAGATCCATGGGCGAATGATTCTACTAATTCATCAACGGTAGATTAAATAAAGGTAATTATTGAGAATTGATTATTTGTCTGTTATTATTGAGAATCGATATATTATATAATAAAAATTAGACTGAATATGACGAATATATATATATTTTTTTAATATTTATACAAAAATTAGAATTTAGATTTCTATCGGAGTAGAGAAAATATAAGGTTGACATAAGGTAAATTATTTAACTTACGTTTTTGTTTGGGTTATTATTATTTTTTTATTATTATTGAAATAAGCAGTACGTTAAGAATTCTCAATAGAAAATTTTGTTTATTCTTTATATTATTAAACAGAAAATTTTGTTTTTTTTTTTATGTTATAATAATCAATACGATTAGAAATGAATTAGGAATGATTATTTTCTTACGCCTTATGTATTACGCCTCGTAGTAATTAACTACTCGGCATTTCCGTATATATGTGTATGTGTGTACTTGTGTGTATGTGTGTGTGTTTTGTATCGTGTTGTATCGATAACAATATAAGCAATATAGGTATGAAAATTTTTTAAAAATTTCGTATTTTATTTAAATGAAATTTAATTTCATATTTTATTAAATTTTATTTAAATTTTATTTAAATTTTCGTTTCTTAAATACATTTGTTCCAAAAATCAGGATTTTTAAAATTGTTAACATTAGATAATAATAATATTATTATTATTATGAATTATAAATTTTTTCGAAAAATAAAGTTTGATCTCATTAAAAATGTATTACCCATTATTGGTAATTATAATAATTATAATAACTTATTTAAATAAAGAAAACTTTTGGTGTCTAAAAATATCTGATCTTTTTTTTATTATCTGAAGAGCTATTTCATTTAACCTATCATCTCAATTATAAATGTTCGTAATAATTATAATGATTTATAAACTTATAATGACTTATTTAAATAAAGAAAACGTTGATACGCTGTCGAAGTCACCAAAATATCTAGTTTTTTTTATTATCTGAATTTCGTTAACTTATCATCCCAATTATAAATTTTCGTTAATAATAATAAAAAATTATTATAATAACTTATTCAAATAAAGAAAACGTTGGTACGTTGTCGAAGTAACCAAAATATCTAGTCTCTTTTTTTTTTTAATTATCTGAAGAGATATTTCATTAACCTTATCTCAATCACCACACCCGCATTAAAAATTGATTAATGAATAAATAAATAAATATTAGCCATTAAAGTTATCAATTAAAAGAATTTATTTCGAAGATAAATTCTTTTTTTTGAATTTTTTGACATTATTTTTTATTTCTCTGAAATCCTAATCCCACACACGACCGCTTTTAATTCTAAAAATTGAGCGTCACCTAGAGGCAGTGCAATACTAGGAACACTCGTGGGCAGGAGTATAGCAAGCCATTGACTCCAAACCCTATTTACAAAAATTAGTTTAATATCAAAGTTGCACAGTGTACAACATTTCAGATATTAAGCTGAAAAGAACAGATACTACACTTGATCTTAGCCAAAAGGCTTGAGAGGATGAGGAACAAAACTTGTTAGGGGAAGGGATTTTATAAGTGTTTCGGAGAATTTTAGAAATGTGGGATTGATATTCTTATATTTTAATTGGTTTCATTTTTTTTTGTCCGATCACACGATCATGTGAATTTAATGAATTTAATGAATGATGCAATCAACGTTAATCTGTTTATTTACCCATTAACGGGTTAAAGTGTTAAAGTGGAAAATATTGTAAAATTAATATTTTCTCATCAATAGGGTCTTGGGGTACGACAACATTCTCCTACGGAATCTTTTTTAATAGTGTGAATTAAAAAAGAACAATATCTTTTTTACATATTTTTATTGTAAATTATATTTTCATTTTTTGTGCGACCAATTGATTTATCATTTTTATCATTTTATCATTTTTATCATTTTTATGTTTTTTATGGAGACAATGAAATACTAGAAGAGATTCATAAATTTCTTTTTTCTATATAACAAATGAGGTCTGTGCAGTGATGATTTACAAATTAGAAAAAATTTCAAGAATTGAGATTTATGAAAAGGAGAATTGCTTATTATAGAAATACCAGCACAAACTGAAGAAGAATGAATGATAACACACCGTAAATAAATTAACCGAAGAAATGGGGAAGAAATTTTTGTAAATAAGTTTAGAGGCTTCTTTAAACCAATTTATTATAAATAATGTAATTCATTAAAAAATTTTAATAAAATTTATTTAATATAATTAATTAAAGTTTTGGATTTAAAAGTTTTTATTAAATATTCAAGTTTATATAAATAATTAATTAAAAAGTTTTGATTTTAAAATATTATTCATTTAAATATAAAAGTTTATTCAAAATTTGGATCTTAAAGCTTTTTTTTTTTAAATACATTCAAAATCTACACATAAATTTTTTTGTTATTCATTTTTAACTCTTATATTATCTAAATTAAAATATCTTCTGTTATTTTTAGAACCTTTAAAAATTTATGATTGCATTTGATTTTTGGTGAAATAAATAAATCGAAATATTTTAAAAAAACATCTAAAATACATGCTATAAAAATACTTCTTGACTATTTTAAAAGTTTTAAATACATCAGGTTAAAAAGAGCGAAGATATAATATTATATTGATCAAAATCCACAGTATATTGTAAATAATTGTCTTTGATGTGAAGCAATCTTGAGGAAACAGACTTGCCCATTTAGTAGTAAAAGCTGGTTAAAAGTCTTGCTTGCACTCAATTATATTGCATGTGATATTACGTTTCCACTTTCGAAATCAATCACATCCAATTTAACCCTATAAGTTATATGTAATTGTATATCATATGAAAAGTCGAATTCTTTCCAAAATCGTAATATTTATGTAAACCCTTTTTTTGTATGTGGCTAAAGAATAGTTTAAATCGTATTGGAAATAAATATATATATATAGTAATCTCAAAAAAATTTTTTTTTGATTTCTTGAAAATTTTAATTTCTAATTTATTTATTTTTTATTAAATAATAAAAATGGCAGCAGCAATTTTTCCAGTTCTTTGCTTAAAAAATATTTTTCATCATCTTTCTGAACTTGATCACCAATCACAAAGGACATGTGTAATGTTAAATCGTCACTGGTGTTCAAATTTAACATCAGAACTTTGGAGAAATCCTTTTGATTTCTTTTTAGAAGATGAAAAGAAAGTCAAATTAATTGATATTTATCTTAAATGTTTACCACGAGATGTTCAAAAAAGACTTAACCTTCCTATGATCAATAAAAATTATAATAAAACAGCTTTTAATTATCCATCATTCTTACATGAATTTGATCCGGAATTAATATTAGATTTTATTAGAAAATGGGAAAATAAAAATATGAAATTTAAAAAATCCACCAAAGTTTCAAAAATAATGACAGAGATTAAAAAATCCTCAAAAATTTTCCGAATAATCAAGAAATTGTTAATTAAAAAAAGTAACAACAACAATAATAATGATAACAATAATAATTATAATAATGATAATGATAACAATAATGATGACTACAACAATAACAATGATGATGATAATAATAATAATAATATAATAACAACAAATAATATTTTCGACAAAATTAATTATCATAACAATAATTGTAATATGATATTTGAAGAATTAATTAAACATATTATAATTTATAATGGTGGAATACAAAAAATTACATTTATTGGATATCACAATTTTAATTTCTTTAAACTTCCAAATGCAACAGAAATATTTTCAAGAACACGAGAAATTAGTTTATACGTAGGAACTAGTTTAGAAATTAAAACCTTAACAGATTTAATACAATCAGTAACTTTATTATTACGAATTAATCATATTAAAACTTTAGATATTAATTTTGATAAATATGATGATGATGTTGATGGTGATGAGAAGAGAAATATAATTAAAAATTTAGTGGAGAAATTTTCACAATTCATTGAACAACAACGAAATTTAGAGATCGTGAAAATCAAATGTATAGTAGAAGAATTTTATACATTATGGAAAAGTATTTCAATTCATTATAAGACATTAACTAAAATTAATTTTGATGGAATGGATTTTAATAAAGATTGGGCATTTCCACTTGATGAATTAGAAAAATTTATAAATTTAGAACAATTATATATAACAAATTGTGTAAATTTTAAATTTAAAATTAATTCTTCTTTTTCCTCATCATTATCACGACCATCATCACGACCATCACCACCATCACCACCACCACGATTATCATCATTATTATTATCTTCTTCTTCTTCTTCTTCATCTCTTTCATCTCCTTCTCGTCGTTCCCCTTCTTCTTCACCTTCATCTTTTAATAAATTAAAAATTATTTCTATAAAATTTTGTGATGGATTTCCTTCTATTTTCTTTAATGCGGTAATTGCACAATCTCAAAAAACATTTGAAATTTTAGCATATGAAGGAATTAGTGATTTTTATTTATTTTATTTTTCTGATAAAAATACTAATTTAACCATAAAACAATTATTTTGTATATTGAGATAGAATTTTTAAACTTAAATATATATATTAAATAATAAAAAAATAACTGACTAATAATCAATTAAATAATAATTATAAAATTCTTGATGAATCATTAATCATTATCTCTGCATTTAATAATAACTGGTATATTATTCATTTGCTATTATTAAAAAAAAAGAAAAAAAACGCGCACTTTAGAGGTGAACACGAAAGAGATCATTGTTGATCATTATAGTGATACGTCATATATATCGTAAATTTGATTTCATTTCATTTATATAATTCAATAATTTACATAATACAGTTATTAACATTTATTACGCATTTATTATTACATTTATTATTATTACATTTATTATTATTACATTTATTATTATTACATTTATTATTATTACATTTATTATTATTACATTTATT